AGAGTGACAGTGATTTAGAAACTTCGTCGTATCTGCAAACAACCCAGAATGTTGTATCCGCAATGTCTGCTCGCATGACGGGATATCGTCCTCCACTCGTTTCCGATAATGAAAGTGACGAAGACACGAGTCACAGTCTACATCAGAATATATCGAAAGGATTACGCCATCCCAGCGATACGGAGAGCAGCGATGAACAGCATCCTATGTCACAATCTCCTATTTCCAGCACTAAATACAACAAAGAATTTAGGTATGTGTTTATGATTTTGTTTTCTTGAATTTTAATATCTTTGTATATCTAACTATTTCTTCTCTCTAGCTTGCGTAAAGCAAAATTGGATCTACAACGAACAAAACCTGTGTCTTCCAGTGTGAACAAAGCTAAGAATTTATCACACGATGCACATGGCAAGTCTGAGTCGCTTTCCAGTATCAATAGAACAGATTCTGGACGATCTAATGCACGAATTAACAGAGGTCTGAACATGGTAAGAGAGTGTAACTTTTTTGAATATATAATAATAAATTTAGTATGTAAATAAAATTTAGTATGTAATATATATAAATATATAAATATATAATATACATTTAAATGTATGTAGGGGCCTAAGAGCAAATCGAAGGAACCAAAAAAGCCCTCAGCGTCAAATGTACGGGAAGTCGAGATGCAAAATTGGAAACGTCGCAAGAGCTACGATCCCATGAAAGCTGCTATGGAAGGACGAAGAAAAGCCGGCTTGGCAAAGAAAAATCCAGCTCTATCACCGAGGTTAGTTGCAAGTTGATTCAACTTTTCACAAAAAAAAAGTGATCGAGGAATTTTTCAGGCAAAGCAAAAGTCCAGAAGCTACTATGCCTCTTGGTCTTTTGCATTGTCTAGGATACATTATTGTTACTAATTAAGAAAATAATTATTTTACTTTATTTGTTATATTTTGTTGTTAGGACCGATAGCGATCGATAATCTAAAAATAATGTGGCAAAACAAGCAAGTGGTATGGCACAAATTCGAACATTTTACATATAGATTCCCTTTTATTTTATATAGATTCAAGAGGTACTGTTAATAGATGTTTGTCACTTTTTGAAGATATAAAACACTTACCAACACGAGAATGCTTTTTTTTTTTGTGTTGCACTAACTCAGAGTTTCTATCAAGTAAGGGACGATAGAAGATATACTGTACTTATGTTTTACATTAATTTATCTATTTTAGCGATGTATTGCTTTTGCACTTCGTGTTTCTATTATCCATCTAATTGTTTATTGTGGTCTAGCAAACGCATTCAAAGAACCGTACCTATTACTACGGAAAAAATATTGCTTTTTATTAATTAAATATAGAAATCTAATATCTTATTTGTTCAATATTGACATTGCGTTTGATTTGATCAGATAGTCAGTTTTAGCGATAATGTGCGATGTAAATATGCGTTAACAAAGCTTTTCTCTTTTGATAAAAAAAAAGAGTATAAACAAGATGAGAGAGATTCGTTTCTTCACTTGCTCATAATTCCATTGTATTTTACTTCTATTTGATTTTAGCCACGTAGCGAGATCGCAGAGTTTTCACGGATCAGTAGGATTAGCAGTCAGCGATTGGAGCGACGAAGAACCAGTCATATCCGCCGACGAAGGCCCACTTTACTAGAATCGTAACTCAGAATTAGTGGGTAACATAAAACTAAGCACATGCGTAAAAATAAGATAAAGCCAAATTACAAAAATTCTTATATATATATAAATTGCAAGAATAAGTGAATTTTACAGGATGTTATAGGAATTAAGCACTCCTATGTTTAGATATAAATCTATTGAAAAAAATTATGAGCCAAATAACTAGAGAAAGTCTTTTTTATATTATAAATTTGTGAGTTATTAACTGTTCATTGCTAAATTCTGAGTTACAAAAATGCGCTTCCTAAAGGTGATACTTAAAAATTATACAAAAATTAACGATATTAGTATTGAAACGTCCAATTGTTTGTGATTAATTTATATGAAATGTCTTTTTCTCTTAAATTATTTCGTATTTTTTATTGCACGTTGAATAATATTGCCTAAATATAAAAAATGTTTCACGTGTACAATAATATTTAAAAAAAAAGAGAAAAAAGATTGATAAAAAAGACTCGAGATGTTTTAATTATGGAGCGAGACTATATTCGATTTATAATAAGGAGTGCTAAATATATGTATAGAGAAATATATGTGTGTCATTGATTTAATTATGATTGGACCAATCGTGTAGCGTTTATGTACAAATATTTTTATCTATAAACGCATTTTGTTTCACATTGGTTCAGACGATTTGTTTAATTATGAAATATTTACTTCAATAATAACTTGTAAAGTGTATTTTTTTCATTAAAAGCGCAAAGAGCGAAGACGCGAAAGAACTTTACATATAGATTTGCGTGTCTTTCTTTTTCATGTTGCGAGAATTATGTACATTACGTTGCTTGTAATAATGAATACAAACTCACATTGGTACTCGCGATTTCTTCCTGCTCATATAACTATTGATACAGAAAGAACGATGTGCTACGCTCTCTTCCAAAGCGCGTAATGAGTATTGTAGTAAATATTTTTCCTCTATGATAATTTAATGTGATCATGAAGGGCTTTACAATGATCTTAATTGTTAAGATGTATATATCACTGTCGATCGATTTAATTGTACATTCTTTCTCTCGATTTTACATAAGATTTAACCGATACGTTTGTCAATTTGGTTCGAAAAAAAAAAACGAATTGTCTCTGTAACATACTCGACCAGGTAATATTAAATGACACTGACATAAACATAAGATATTTTATACATAAGTACTTGTTCAAAGAATTGTATCACTTGTTCATCATATGCTTGTTCCAATATAAATTCGATGAAAATTTTATCTGAATTTCCTAGAGAATTTCGTAAAATTTATACAAGTTCGTTGTGCATATTGCAAGCATTATGATAAAGAGTTATATTAATGCTCCCTTTATTGCATAATTCTTGGAAGATCATCCTACTATACTAAAGCAATTTTTCTACGTTTCTTTTACTATTCATATTTCAATGTTAAAGAAATAAAAATTTTAATTGAAAAATTTATATTTTCTTATCGACACAATTTACAATCTATTTATGTTTATTGATTTATATTTATTTATATTTATTGATTTATATTTCTCAATTCAGAATTGTGCAGTAAAGATAGCAGAAGAATGTGATATTATGACAGGATTAGAAAGTTACTGAGTTAAATATGAATTTCTTTATTAGAAATTAATAGATATATATATAATAGTTTTCTTAATTAAGTTTCCATGATAATGTTCGGTTCTAAAAATGTTTAATTCTGTAGTATTGTATGCAGAATTGTTAATATGCTGCAAAGATAATTTAGAAAAAATGGTGTGCGTCAATCTTTAAAATTAAAATTTGTTTTTAATTATTTGATTAATTTATAAAAAATATTTTGTTTAAAATAATATATTTTCAAAATGCATTGCGAAGTTAGTATTGACATTTTAAAAAAAAATTTATTACATTTTATGTGCAATGCCGCGTATTGGAAGTTATTTTTTTATAAATTTATGCGTATAATTAAAATTTATCTTACAATCGCACAAACTTATAATATTCTTAAATACATTGATTTCACGTTTTTAATTTTTCTTTGAAAAAAAAATGGGCTTCCAATGTGCAGACACAAATTACTATATTTCCAAGATAGATACATCAAAATAATGAAAATACATGGAGCGGTATATTATTTTAATTGTGCAACTGGAAATATGAGGATCACGAATACAAAAGAAATCATAATTCATCTTAATTATAATTTTTTTTTATAAATTTTATTTCTAATGCAACAAACAGAAAGCTCAATTATTTCTAGAGATGCTTGCCGCCTAGATCCTTACATTTCTAGATTGGTTTAGCAAGCAACGATATGTAAACTTATTTTGCCAATGAATCTTTTAAATTTAACTAATTATTAACGAGTCTTAATTTTCTTTTTATCATGATATATCAAAATGTTTTATTAATATGATCTGAATCGTTTGTTTCTAAGTTATGTATCTACACAATTGCTATTCGCATAATAGCGTATAAAATGTGTGTTTCACATCTTGTTTTGTCACCCAGAAAGAAGCGCGTGCATATATGTAATAACAAGCGATATATTTTTGTATATTTAAAGCCTACAGAGCCGGTAAGCGCGTTAAGTTACAATTTTACCGTTAATTAATTTTTATTAAAAATATATGTACACAATTCTTTTGCAGAAAATGTTATATATGATAGTGAAATATAGCATCTGTATCTTAAATAAGAGTGTGTCAATCGATCGTATGTATCGTAATAATATATAAGTGTAAATCAAAGCAGCCGTTTGTTTTTTTATTTGGAGACAAATTGCGTTTCTACGAATCTCGCACAAATTAGCCAAGTTTCAAATGGCACTGAAAATTTAAATTCACGGTTTATTTCGATCCGTTTCACTTTCTATCACACATATCCGCGCGTTTGAGATTCGTACAACGATCATTTGTAAAAACTGAAACCAAGTTGCTACAATTAACTTCGATTTTTTCTTAGATCATACTTTGCTTATCGTGTAGACAAAACTTGCAATATAGAAAATAAACGTCTTCACATACGTTCTTATTCTGTTCTTCATATATATTAATATTCATAAATATTAAAATAAAGAAAAATAAATATCAAAATTAAAAAAAAATTTTCATATTATGTCCAACAAATAGTGTATACACAAAATTAATCAAATATTAAAAAATAAAAATACATATCTAATCGTCGTATTATTTAAAAAATAATATGAGACATCCGCATAACATATTAATTATGGAACTAAAATAAAGTTTAATTTTAATGATATTTTAAATATTATCCACATGTAATTCGTGGTCGATCAGTTGTCGACGTTCTTTTTAGCTAAACTTCCAACAATCGCGCATGATCATTGATCAGTGTTGATCAGCTGGGACAGCTGAATCAGCATGGATCGGCATGATGCCGTCAGAAACGTGGTCATCAAGATTATAATCGACGACGCCTTGTTTTAGTGAGTAATGTTACGTTTCATTAAAATTAACACATTTAAATTTTAAACGTGTGTATATATCTAATATCATATATCAATAATGAACAATATGAAAAATTTTCCATGATATAATGAAAATCTAACGTTATAGGTTATCTTTATTTTGTAGTACGCACGTATATTTTCTTTTATATGTGTCTATAAATTACTTAGAACTGTGACAACGTATTTTTTTCAACTCGCATGTACCTTTGCAGGCTTTATCTTATCATACATTATTGAAAATCATGGACGACATCGCCGAGACAATCGTAGCGCAGGCTACAGATCCAAAAGTGGCGTTTATAGCCGCTGCTCTCTTCGGTTATTGTTTATATAAACTCATGACCATGGTAAATAGAAAAAGTCCTCAGCAAAGTTCCTTTGCGGAAGACTCCGACGAAACGGATGATGACGACGTGGTAAAGAAAACAATATCACTTGAATTTTTCTCGAAAACTTGTATAATTCTCTGATAATCTGTTAAACAATCAGTTGCAATTATTCTCCTTTTTTACACAGGTATATACGGATAAATATGATAATTACAAGTTGATCCTGGTAATTAGAACGGATTTGAAAATGGGAAAAGGAAAAGTAGCAGCTCAGTGTTCACACGCTGCTGTTGCAGCATACAAAGCTGCTAAGAAACATCCAAAGATTCTAAGAGCATGGGAAGAATCTGGCCAAGCTAAAATCACTCTTAAGGTATTTCGAATCATATTAAATACTGATATAAGTTAATAAAGAAAAAATATATTTTTAATGAATGAATTGAAAATGTATAATGAATGCATTCGTATTGATCCAACATATTAAATATTCCTTATGACACCAACCAGATCGTAAGGTTTTAATCGAAAGAAACTATCACTTGATGTTTAATAAATATATTTAACTATACACAGTTAAAATAAATATCTTTTCACACACATACACACGCACGCATGTATAAAAGGAAAAATGATATGTTAATTTTCAGGTGGACAGCGAGGTTGCTCTTACAGAGATAGCAAAGCAAGCTAAAGCTGCAGGTCTCTTATCGAATGTTGTACAGGATGCAGGACATACGCAAATACCAGCAGGAAGTAAAACGGTATGTGCAGTCGGACCGGGTTCAGCAAAATTAGTAGATCAAGTAACTGGTCATTTAAAGTTATTTTAACTGCTTATGAAATAAAGACCGAGTCCTTTGATATATCTTTGACTTTATATTTTTTATTTTTAATATCCCCAAATATCTCGTCTTATTTAAATCAGTCTGTTGGCAAAATTTTTTCTAGTTACGCAGAGGAATCTTAACACAATTAATGTTAAATGCCTTGAATTTTTAGAGTATTTACATGCATATTAAAAAAGCTAATACTACATCATTTTTATTGTCTCTATATCTCTTCACAAAGCAGAATTTTGAAATTAACTCATAAAATATATATGCAAAACAAATTTCCTTCATGTTAAGTTTTAACAAACGTATTTAACAATTTTCTCTTAGAATTAATATAATACTACATCTGTGTGGGTATGTATGTGTGTGTGTGCGTGTTTGTGTTTTGCGAAATACAAACGTAGTATAGAATGTCAATTCAAATTTACTTTCTAGCATGATTTATCAGAAATATGATAGTTGAAGTTAGAGCTCGGATGTTGGTGCAGCTAATATTATTTATTCTAGATAGATATCAGTGATAAATGGGAGGAAATATAGAGAAAAATTGATTCTTTTAGCTTATTAAACATCCGAACTCCACAGTCATCTTTTGCTATGTTAATTAAGAACGTTAATAATTAAACGTTTGGACGGATTACAATTAAAATCATACTTGAGCATATTAGCGCTTATTAGCGAGATTATTTCGTCCTTGTACGTATATAAAACTCGTTACATTCACGAGTTCCAGTATATGAAAAAGGGACATGTATGCAAATATGTGCATTTAGTGAATATTAAGGCATTTATGGTTCCTAGTATATTCTTTCAGGTGTTTCATCTTGAATACCAAGAAATATTAGCAAATGAATACGCGCTCGCACTACGTTTTTCGCCAATCGTTTTCTGTCAGCCTTGCTGTGATTGCAAGGCACTGACCACCTATTTCCCAATGTGTCTCCCATTCTTTGGTACCCAGTACTATACTTCGCGAAATTACGTTTTAACTTATAAATATAAATAATCTATATCGGTGGCGCGGGTGCTTTCCGAGGTATTTTATTCGAACTGGCGGCGCTGCATTGCGACTCCGCGATAGATCTACCGTCGGCCTCATCCCTCCGGCAGAGCTCCGACTCGTTCTGTATCCAATTCTGTGTCTGACTGTGGCCCACCGTTTTCGATTGCGACTCCTCGTTCTCGGATACAGCGCTCACTTCCTCTAGCAATTTCGATAATGACGGCGCTAAACCCAATCCCAAATTGCGCTCGTGATATACCTCCGATATCGTGGGCGTAAGCTCCCGTGTTAGACTCGTCAGAGAAGTGGCCAGGTTCCTTAAATTCTGCGGATGTGTTTCCGTGGATTGTGTCGCGTCGGTCTGTGCGCTGCAGATGTCCTCATTTGTCGCTGCGGCATGCCGTGACTTCCTCGACGAGTTCGTGTCAATCTCCGTTCTCACGCTCAACCTTTCCAATACATTAGCCGGCAAAGGTGGTAACGGCTGCCGCCTCAATACAGTGGCGTGACCATTGTCCCAATCTGTTACTGAACTGCTCGAGCTTGAGCCGGGCCTTACCGGATTTTGTTCGGGATAAAGATTCCGGATACGAGTCTGATGGTTCAAGTTAAGCGCCACAGGAGGACTAGGTGTAAATGCAACGTCTGATTCACCTGGAGTGTTCGAATATAATTTAAATTTCTGTGTAAGATATATCTTATGAAATTTTACAGAAATCAAATGTATCTTATAAAAATATTACTTTTAATATTTAAAACAAATAGAAAGTTGATTCGAGTATTTTGTTTTATAATTTTAAGATATTTATATATATATATACCTCCACCGTTTTGACATGGCTGTCGTGAGGCTGGTATCAAAACGTTCGGTGGTTCCATGGTCTTTCCATCTGGTTCGCCACGATGTCGCACATAACTTGCAAATGCTCCTCCCAATCGCGGTCGTTCTACAAGGTTTTTCTCAGTATGGGCCACAGAAGCTAAACTCTCCATGGAACTACCTGAATCTAAGCTAAGACTTTTTGGTGCTTCTTGTGTATCTGCAATTGATAATACACACATACAAATGAATACAATTAATTTACATTTATTACGATCATCATGTATCAATATAAATTTTAATTTACCAAATAATGCAAGAAGAGCTTGAAGAGCAAACTGGACAGCTCTACGTGAGGCTTGTTTGCCTGTTCTCAATATCACTTCTGATTGTCCGACTTCCATCAAGTCAAAACCTAAACTAGCGAACAGTTCGTGTGATCCTGATGCTCTCCAAACATGTACAGGCAATATAACTTCTTGTCCTTCTGTGGCACAACTGGCTCTTCTCATGGCAGCGATAACGTCCTCTGCGGCTTCTGGCGCCTGAAATATTTTTTACATAATCGATTAAAATGAGAACCTTATATGTATTTGATTAAACATTAATTGAAGTAAGTCATACTTGTAAAAGTCTCGCCAAAGCATGCAATGACGATTGACCTAATCCTAGTAGAGCTTGTAAGCTGGCGCTGCATCTCGTCAGTCTTTCTTCGGGATCGCTTTGTGGGAAGAATACGGAGGACGGTATACCATTGCCGGCCGGCTCGAATCTGAATCCTACGGACATTAGAAGCTCTCGCCAACCAGTGGCCGCGCCCACCTTGTTCTCTATACTGCGCTGAGTCGTATACATGGCGTTCTTCTGACCGCGATGAATTCTTTGTAATGACTTTTCTACCAGATGAAGCGTTACTCGCAGCGCGTCTCTACTCTGCTCGGGACCACCACGCAATAATTCCGCCAGTGCTTGACCCATTAGCGCGACCTGCCGAAACAAGAGAAAAAAATGATGAAATATTACAGTTAAAGCTGCAAAATTTAAATAAGATTAGATTTATTTAGGACATATCTAAGCTTTAATTAATCGATTGATTTGTTTTGCATTTTGTAGTTGCTCAAATAATTCCTATCAAATGTACCTTGTTGGATAATCTTGTATCTCCACCGATAAGTAGCCAACCAGCCCAGTTAGCGGGATGAGCAAAATGTCTGGTATGCTGAACGGTTTGCATCGCCTCGGCTAATGCACGTGACGCTCTCGCGCCTTGTAACATTGCGCTGTAGAACGCTCGTAATAAGATGCTACCGGCGGTTGGTGGTACTGCCCACATCCCTATGAGCACACATTGCGCGCCCGCGCTTAATAAAGTCTTGGCGATATTCTGTATACCGTCCGATGTGGCGTTTGTGCAATCTACGTTGCTCCAACTCTGACCGCTAGATACGACCACCAGACGGGCGGACATCTTTAATCTGAGTAAATCTGTCTGATTTATCAGGTACTCCGGCCTTTCGGATGGCTCCTCGCACTGATCAGGCGAGAACGCAAGACTACCGGTATTCCAGAAGACCGGCACTGTCAGGTGAACACACTCCGCATCTGGTAGAGACCGCAGAACCGCTGATCTGGTAGCTTCCAATCCTATTGTGAACAAAGAGAAAATTTTTAGTGACACTTTCGCAAACAACTTTCTCAGTTGTGATACAATTAGGAAAAGTTTTTAGAACTGTAGCTGTACTAACCAGTCATTGCGCGAGCCTCCAATAATTCAGCGACTATTTCTGACTCGGTCTCGGTGGAAGCGATGCTTTCAGCCCATCCGTACTCCTCTCGAACGTCTTCTGGTAGAATAGGGTTTCCGGCGACTAGTGCAGCCACGGTAGCACCGCCTTCTAGCACAGGCGTCTTCGATCTCTTTCTGAGCGCCGCAAGGGATGGTACCACCAATAATGAGAATCTTTCACACAGATAATCCTCGCCTGGATTGGATTGCAAAGCCGGGAACGGTGCCAAGTAAAGAGATTTCTCTACCACCATAATCAGTTCCTTTCGTGGTGGCGGTAGTAGATCTTCAAACGGGGCAAGAAGAAGATCGTAGAGCACCTGTATCGGCAATGGTGCTTGCCACGTAGGTCCTTTCGCACCTCGTCCCCAACGAGCGCTTCCAGCGCGAGAGCTCACAGAGCCGACACTGAAGAGACTACTCAAACTGTAGGAACTAGCATTCAAGTGATGACCCCTTGATGGGATTTTGGTGGATTCCTCGATAAGCTCGTTGCTTTCATCCAGGAGCGCTTCGCGCGCTTGAAAAACTCTCTTTTCTAGACCTACCCCATCGTCCAATGTTGCGGAGTGGAATCGTAATAGTCCACGTCCTGGCGCTAAGCACCACGCATGCAATTCACATCCCACCTCACTGAAATTATTTTGTTATTTTAATTTTTTAAAAGTGAATATATAAATCATTTTATAGTATTAAATAAATTATATCTTGTTTGAAACTAATAATACTTATAATACAATAGTTTGCAAAAAGATTATACCTATAATACAGGATAACTCCACGTTGTCGATCAATGATCTCAGAGTAATGAGCTGCATCGTCCAAAGAATTACTCTTAGATCGTCTGGATCTTTCCGCCCAATTCAGAGCCTCCTCTGATCGGTTTAGATTGATTAGTACCTTTTGCAACATTCTGTATGTTTCTGATAATAATTCAGCTCGATTAGGTTGACCGCAAGAAAGAGACACAGAAGTTCCGTCTAATGATTCTAAGAGATTTGCGGCCTTCTCCAAGTGTTCCACAGAGATGATCGCTTCTCCGGTCTCCCAATGCACAAGACCAAGTCTGTGTCTCAGTCTGGCAGCTTCTTCTCTTCTGCCTAAGCCTTCGGACAAAGACAGACCAGACTGCAGATAACTTAGAGCACGTGGCAGGTCTCCACACAAATGATGAAGTCGACCCAGACTCGCGAAAGCTGCCGCTCGGGCGGGTTGATCGCCTGCTGCGGCCGCAAGGCTCAACGACTGTTCCTGCAACCTTATAGCTTCCTCATATTGTCCCAATGTCTCCTGAGTCACTCCTAAATTGGCACAAGCGCGAGCTTGTAAGCCGGCCGCGTCTAAACCTTCGGCGATCGACAGCTCCAACTGATGATGGCGTAACGCGGAATTCGGATCGTCCATTAGAAGATGTACTGCTCCCAAACCGCTGGCAGCTTCGGCTTCGGCCGCTTTGTCGCCAAGCCCACGAGCG